AGAGTGTCCGCGGGGAGGCGGATTTCCGCAACTCGGATGGCGGTATTGTTTTTCCCCTTCCTTTCTGTTGCTTTTCCCCATCTTGGCCTGAAGAAAAAAAAAGCGGCTTCCTTGGTCGCAAGATACCACCCACGCTCGGTGTTCCTCTACTGTATCCCTCCGGGTGTCCTTGTCTCCCGCGGCATGCGCCTTCTTTCGGGCCATCTGCCGGGAGCCACGGCATTCCCATGATAGGGGCCTCACTCTGGCCGACGGCGGCTGGCTAGGGCTGCGGCGCGCTTCATCTCCCGGTACCGAACCATGGAGTAGGCCGACGAGCCGACCAGCGAAAGAACAATCCCAGCGAAGTTCTTTTTTTTTTGGCCACCAAGCGAGCAGCCCCCAGCGGCAAGGTGTGTCTCCGGATGTGAGTGGTTGGGCGTGCCATTCTTGGAAGTCCACGCCGTCAAAGGCCCCCCGCGAAGACCTGCCACCAAAGGAGTCAGGATGCGCACCATTCCGGAAACGGGGTTCTTGTAGATCATCCAAGCGAGGAGGGATTGCACGCAGGACTGTCAGATGCCCGTCGCAAGTCGGGAAGGCGACGAGGCAAGGGGGGGGGGGGGGGGGGGGGGGGGGGCGGGGAATATCGGTACAATGTCAGTTTGTGTGTCGGTTTGTCTGGGCGCACATGCCCCACCCGGGCTCAATGCGAGTGGGCGGGGCCGTTTCGGCTCGCTCGGACGCCAGCGCGCACCTTGGCCGTGCCACTGATGGAGTTGGTCAGCGGGGTGGTTGTCTTGATCTGCAGGAACATGGCCAGGTTGATCATCCACCCAGCCAGGGCCGTGATGGACATGATGGCCCAGAAGCGGGGCATGTAGAGCATGGCCAGGTCGGACGGGGAGTTCATCAAGGAGTTCCACTCGCCGGAGAGGATGATCAGGGGGATCATCAGGACCGAGGCCAGGGCAGTGTTGTACTCCTGCAGGAGCCTGTTTTTCCCGGGATGCACGGGTTCGGGAGGCCGGAGCAGGAGGGGCCCCAGCGAGGCAGGACCGATGGACACCGGTAAAAAATGGGCGAGGCGAGGGGGGCCACATGCGCAGGGCGGGCGGGCGGGCGGGCGGGCGGGCACACGGGCGGCGCCACGGGGCACGTTGGTTTCGTCGGTGTCAGTGGGCCGGTGGCCGAAGGCTGCTGATCGGTGAGTGCTACCGGCGTGCTCTGGCCCGCAATGGACACATACCATTCGTTATCATCGACAACCGCGAGCTTCTGCTTGACAAAGAGCCCATACAGCGACACGCAAGCGCTGGCCCCGACGCCGAAGAGAATCCCACTCCAGGAGAAGTGCACCTCGCCATAGGCGCCAAGGACGAAGCCAGCCACCACAACCATGCTGGTAAGCAGGGCCGCCTTGCTGGTGCGTTGGCCATGGAGCAGGAAGCCAAAGACAATGCTGAAGGGAATGGTCAAGGACCGAGCCACCTGGTAGAAGGTCACCTCCACATACTTGAGGCAAAGGTTGTTCAGGGCCAGCATCAAGACATAGAGCACTGTCAGGGGCATGATTGCCTGGAGCTTGACGCGGTTCAGGCGAACCGGCGGGACGGCCGAAAATAGGCGGACCCTGATTGGCGAGGTGGTTAGCCCATGCAGACTGACAGCGCTGTCACGCTTCTTTTTTTTTCTTTTTCTTTTTTTTTTTTGCTGCCCCTAGCCATGCCTGCACATGGCTTCCGGGCCTCCTTTGTCCCATGTGCATGTGTGTACTTGCGCGGTCCCGGGTCCGAGAGAGGGGTCACGTACCGCTTGCCAAGCTCACCGCACACGGTCAGAGCCGCCAGGGCAAAAAGAATCTGATACCAAGTGACCAGCAGCGGATAGGAGAACTGCATCTCACCCGAGCTGGTATTGGGAATGGAGAACGTGTCAGCCAAAGGGGGGGGGGGGGGGCACAGTCCGGCACCTTCTTGCGTTCTTCCCATTCCGGGCCCCTTGCTGCCTGGCCCTTGTCGGTGTGCGTATTGGCGCGCTCAAGGGGTCGTCCCCCTCGATCCATCGACCGAGTGACGTACCTGAAAATGTACTTGTTAAGGAAGACCGTAGACAGGGAGATGATCCAATAAAAGAGGATCACGGAGAAGATACGCCCCACGGAGGGGCTCGAGGTGGGGGTCCCATGGCCGACCGCGGCGCCCGGGCCACCCCGAGCCTTGGTGTGCTTCAGGCGGACAAACTCATCATCGAGGAAGGTCTGCGACAGGGAGCTGGTGTCCTTCTGCAGGCCACTCTTGCCGCCGGGCCCCCCATCGCTCGGGCCGCCAGTGATATGTTGCATCTGAATGTTCTCCATGGGGATGGTCTTTGGAGGGTGGCCCGGGAGGAGAGAGCAGGCAGGAGGGGGGGGGGGGGGGGAGGGGGAGCGGTAGGAGGAAAGAGAAAGGGCACGAGGCTTGTCAGCGAGTGAATTCGAGAGGCCACTTCGGGCCAGGGCGCCGCAGGATCGGATGTTGCTGCGTGACACATACAGTCTGCTGGTGGGTGGCGATTTGGTAGGAGGGCAGGGCCCCCTGCGGGGCGATCTGCTGCTGAGCAAGCTGGCCCTTGAGTGCGTCGATGTGTTGCTGAGATGAGGCACTGCCGGGGGGCAGGCCTGCAGTGGTGTGCGGGCTGTAAGGGGAGAAGTTGGCGCGGGCCGGCTGCGGGGAGTTGGACAGGGCGAAGGAGTCGGCCACAGTTCCCGCCACAGCTGGATGGCGCGAGTCCACCTGCGGGTCAGGCTGCTTCAGACTCTCCACAGTCATGGTTGTGTTGGGAGATGGACAGGATGGGGGGGGGTGGTGAGGCTGGAAGTGACCGAGGCAACGGTAAGCCGACAGGCGTGAGGCTGCGGTGCGAAAGACACGTAAAGTAGCGGCGAGGGTTTTGTGTTTGGTTGGGTTTTGGGTGGTGTTTGTTTTTGTGTGGTGTTTTTGGTGGTGGGGGGGGGGGGGGGGGGGGGGGAGGAGACTGTGCAGTTGGAAGCCCCGGGAGGCTAAAGCTCGGGGCCTTTTTAGCAGGGCCGCCGCCGCGAGTCCGATGCTTGGGCCTCATCGCGGGGCGCACCGAGACCGAGCTCAGCAGGGGGGAGTTGACATCATCATCATCATCGTCAAGGCCGCTTTATTCACCCCTTCACATACCAAAGGGAACACAGACAGCAAAGTCTGACAAGCCCTGAACTTCATTCTTCCAAGTGGTGGCAGGTCCAGGGGAGGGGGGGGGGGGGCGGCCGAGCCTCGCACTGGTTCCCGAGCCCAGCCCGCCTGGAGTTGGGCGGCATGAGCCCGACGGGCTGGCTGGCCCGGCCGGCCGGCCGGCTTACCAGCCGGTGCAGCCGCCCTGTCGCGACCGAAGTGCCGGTTCAAAAGCCTCGCTCGTACGACATCCGTACGTGCCTGAATTTCACAGCTGGCGGTGCATCGCCCCGGCCGGTTCCCGGCTGGTAGAAATGACTTTTTCGTGACAGATTTGAATGTTAATTTCGCTGGCTATCCATGCATGCTC